CTTGTCAAAAGAATGACATTGGTACTTCTATTTTTCTTATATTATTCTTCTTCTTTGTTTTTGTATCTAAATAATCTATGAACTATTTGTTCCTAACTATTACAATCAGAAGCGTGAAACATGTATCAATGTTCTGGTCAATGACAATAATTTTTGTTTCAAATAACACAAAGAAAAAAAGAAGAAGAATGTATTCAAATTGATAAGAACATTTGTAGGCATCTTTTTTACACTCATGCTGATCAAATTTCTTCTTTTTTTATTTCATTCATCTGATCTATTACTAACAAAAGTTTGTTATTTTTGTTCTATGTCCATTAAAAACTGATATTCTATTTTTACATACGTACTTTAATTTTGAGTTCCGCATGTTTGACTAGTTATATTCTAAATGTAACAAGATAAAAATTTCTTGAATAATAATAACAATTGTTTTTTATGATCAAATTCGCACATTTATTGTTAATCTACTCAATTATTCCATGTTGAACATGTTTTTATTCTATAACAAAAATCCTTTTGACATTTCTATTGTTTCTAATCCATCTATAAATCATGTGTATGTAATCTTTTCTTGCAAAATGAACAAAAGGATTAAAGAACATCAAAAATAACTTAGAAGAAAAAAAATCTTTTTATTATATTTTAAATCATTAATTTCGTTTCAATGATTACAATCATAAAAGAAGAAAAAAAAACATATATATATAAATATTTCATTAAAAAATTTTTTTTTAAAATAGTATCAAATATCAAAAAAAGTTGATAAGAAGTTAAAATAATGATCAAAATAAAAATACTTAGATCACATTTCATTAAGAAATCGAGACGATAATAATTAATATTAAATAGATAGGAATACAAGAGAGTTGCTTTTCTTAATATAGAATCTGAATATATTATAAGTTAATTATTATTGATAAATTTCATTTAATAATTTTCTATGAAAATTAAAAACATTCAAACTAATTTATGGTCTACACATTTCTAAAACTTATAATAAAATCATTTAGGATAGAAGCATATGATATATTAAGAAGTATTGCTTATAGAATAAATCGATCGTCTATGACAAAAACAAAACATTATTTATATTATGTTAAACTCAAGAGACTGTTTGTTTCAGTGGCGGGCCAGCATCCCAAATATAGGTGGGGCAATAAACTTTAATTCCTGGGCATAATAAAAAATCTATTTTCAGCTTTATGAAAATGCTCTATGATAGCTGCATTCATTCAAGCTGCAATTAAAACTAGTCTTTTAAAAGTAATCTCTATGTTTGTTTTTCTGTTGAAGTCAATAAATAAACGAGTAAATATTGGATTTAAAATTTTTTTGGGTGAGGCAATTGCCCCCAATTGCCTCGTGGCGGCCCGCCACTGGTTTGTTTATATAATAATTGTGATCTGTTTAGATGATCAATCAGATCAAAATATATGTGGGATGAAATCAATAGTGAATTTAATGATTCATCATTGAGTTTAGCAGTGTTTAAGTCATTCATAAAGAGATGTCTTGTCACTACTTATATATTACCATTACATATTGATTTTTTTAAGAACGTAAACAAAAAGTAATAATTAAAATACAGTAAATTTTTAGAATTTTAAAAGTCCAATTGATTTGAATTCTTTAAGATTTTTCAGCTTAAAAATTTGAAAACTATACATATTTTGACGTAAAAATTCCAATTTTGCAAGAAATCAATTGATTGAGAGAAGAGATTTATATTGTTAGTTAGCAGACCTACATGATAAGTATGTAAAATGTTTGCGCCTTTTTTTTAGATATCTTTCTTGTTAAAATGAAATCAACCATCATTCTACGTACTATATCTTATTTCAAGATATATATAAAACTGTATATTTTCTAAACTCAAAATAAAATTGAACACTTACAATATAACCAAACAGAATGTTTTCGAAAAATGATTATGTGATTTTTTAGTTAATGATAAGAAAAAGTTCTGTGAGAGTCATGAATAAGATGTTATTCAAAGTTGGCATTAATAATTGAGCAAATTTTTGTAATGAATTTCGTCAAAAATGCATTCGAACATTATAAAGACAGTAAGAAAGCTATTTAAAGTTATTCGATAACAAAGTGGCAGCTATCTAAAGGATAATCAGAGGCTAATTTCTCAGTAAACAAAAAGTTTGAGGAAAACATTGATCGACTCACTTTTCTTGATGTTGATTCCGAATATCACATTAGTGGAAATTCTAGTTGAACTTTCTGGTCGAAATTTTCTCAACATAAAACTGAAAAAGCGCATAATCACATCTTTAAAACACTTCGTTTGATTATATTTGAGATGGTCAGCTGTTTTTTTTTTCGAGTTTAGAAAATATCCGATTGTATATATGTCTTTAAAGATGGCTATCGAATGATTTATATTAGAAAAATAATAAATTTCATTTTATAACATTGTTTAATTATTGTCTACTTTCTTAAAAATCGGTATATTATGATTAGATGATTAATAACAATAAATGTCCTTTTATGGTTGATATTAAAATTATTAAAATGTCGAACTATTATTATGCTATTGTTCTATGTATAAATTGATTTAATTAGACATAAAAATCTTTGTTGATCTATTGGAATTCTTGTGCAGCATTCTTCCTCTCAGGTATTTATTTTTCTTGGAATGTTGGTATTTCTGTTATCACTAAATTTGAAAAGATACGGGTAAAAACTGATTTGTCAGTCTTTACAGTTTTTTCTTGTTTTAGTTGATATATTCAACAGTAGATAATTGGATTCGTCAATGGAAAATTGTTTCGTTCCACATAAACTCGTACATGTCAAGTAGAAATTAAAACAAAGAATAAAAAATCTATATTTATTAATCGCTGTTCTTGAACAAACATGTTAATTTTAGCAGAAATTTTTTTTTTTTTAAGAAAAAATTTTTCGACTCATTGCTACTCAAGTCTTATTAGAATGAAAAAGAAAAATGATGTAAATCTACTTAAGGCTTTTGAATTAGTGCTTCTGAATGTAGAAGCCGTTAAAGAAATTCTTGTTTTTTTAATAATGCATTTGCTCTGCATAAATGAATTAAAGTAAAGTATGCTATTATTGCAAGAATGCTTGTTTCTTCGAGGATAAGTGTAGAATGAGGACATTTCTAGTGAAAATGGAACGATATTTTTGGTTTTATGCATATTGTCCAGTCTTCAAACTTGTTTATATGTTAGTATTAAATGCTTCTAGCGGTTTAATTAAATGTACTAAATTCCGATAGGTCTTGTTATCTTTCTCTTCCTGGCATTAAATCATCATTTTGTTCTTTATCTCATTTTAAATTAGTGAATAATGGTTATAAAATTTCGAAGTTTCAGCGTGAATATATTAATCAATAGGTGTGGAGAACGAAAATTTTTAGTTCAAAATTGCACAAAAAGTCATGTCAATCTCTGCTCTTAAATTTGCCCTATATATATTTATCTACAAGATAATAAAACCTATTCATTAGTGATTATAAGACTAAATATTCTTGATGAAAATGTTCGTTTTCTCATCATTGTAATTTTAATCATAAATCTGTCAGATTCTAGTCTTTAAAATACTTATGTAAAACTCTATTTCTCATAGTATTTTTTAATTATCTGACTTAAAAGAATAGATTATATAACATAAATGACATATGAAAGCTCAGTTTTTATTATTATCGCCAAACGAATATTTAAATCGTCATGGTCAAAGACTTTTTCTATTAAGTTCACCTTTCTATACATCCTCAAAAAAAGTGATTTCTCGTCAGGTACATTCAAATCGTTTGAAAAATGTCAGGATATGTTGGGAGTGTAGTAGAGAGATTATAATAAAATTTTTAGTTCCATAATATGCCGTTTGAGATATATATTCATCAAATAAAGGTCAAAAAAAACTTCATTTAACAATGCAACATTCTAATGTCAATCATGATTTTGCACATTTGATCTTATTTTTTGTTAAAAAGAGAGTATTCAATGATACAGAGCATGATGAAGCTCTATTTTATTAATCATACTTTTTAAGTAGAAAAAGATTTGGCAAACTCAATGTATAAAGACTGGTGTTCCAATTATCAAAGTGCTTTTTTATATAATTAGTAACATTACTTAATTTTGACATGCTTTTTCAAATAAAAAAAAAAAGAAAAGAAGTTAAATATTATAGAAGAGAATTTTGGTTAATGCAATCAAAAACTCAGAAACAGAAAAACATTTTCCACTTGTTTTGAACACCAACAGGATGTGGGCTTGTACATCTTAAATTTCATTTTCTTTTTGTCTAAGTGGTTGACTCTAAAGAAATAAACATTGTACCACGTCATTTCTTGTTTTTTTTTCATATGAGAATTGAAATAGAGAAAAGATCAATTTGTAAAACCGTTATATTTCAATCAGTCTGAATATTTTTATTTTATTATTAAATTAGCATTCATATTACAAATCTAATTATAATTAAATGAGCTTGATAATTATATAATATATAAAAATGAGATTATATTGACAGTAATATACAAAAAATAATAGCTGTTATCGATGTTGAATAAATAGAAAAAGTGTTGTGTTGAATAGATTCATGTAAAAACAATGCATTTGAAAATGAAGAAGAAGAAAAATTTTTTTTTAATAAAATTCTATCACATCATTTTATGTTTAATAAGAATGTGTCATTTACAGAAGAAAATAACTTTTACTTTTCTCCAAGGTATCAATTTCGTGACAAGATCTGTTTTTGTTTAAGTATCAAATGTTAATTAAAACAAATTATTCATTTCATAGTTTCAAATTAAATAAAATAGAAAAATTTTTGTTTTTCTTTTTTTTTTTGTTTATTTAAATAGCTGAATTTCTTAATAGGCATGTTTAAAAAAAAATTGTATCTGTTTTTCTTTTTCTTGAGTTTGTTTTTGTTCAATATTTTTACACATTTACTTCAGAAAAAACATTTATTTCTTTTAATTTTTTTCATGCATATTAAGATATAAAATAAATGAATTCTTTTTAACCAAAACAATTGACAGCATGAAAAAAACAAAGCATGCGTTTATTGACCGGCGTAAGACGTACGTCACGCTTAAACCAATTGAGATGAGAGGTTAATGCTTGTTGTATATTTGATTTTTCTTGGTTATTCAGATATACAGGTGGATCATATAGAGGTTCTTGTTGTTGTTGTTGTTGTTTAAACTACAAATAATATATAAATAAAAGAATTGAATTATAAATATATAATTTGATAATTTACTGGATAATTGTTTCGAAGATATTCAATAAGAAAAACTGATCGACCATCTTGTTGTTGAATAGGGAATAGTTGATTTTCACTTTGACTTTGATCTAATGCTGATGATAAATTCGTCTGACATATAGATAAAATGAATACACAATATGTCAACGAGATAAACGAAATATAGGAAGTGATTGCCATGTATATAATTATATATATATAAATGTCTATAATAAATAATCCGAATAATGAATTTTCTTTCGTAACGATGTGAGAAGATTTCTTGAATTAGAATAAAAACGCATACAACTAACGTCTGTGTTTGATGCTTATTCAAGATAGAGAAAACTTGTATTATATATGGGAAAACCTTTCTTTTTCTTTCTTTTGTTTTACATATTTATTTATAGATATACAAGAAAATGAAGACAGAGAAAAAGCACTTCATCAGAATAATTTATTATCATCATAGCAATGTTAATTTAGTTTCTGATCTTTTGGGATTTACATCTGTTGTCATTTTTTACCTATTTGATTTGAATTATTCTATTAATAATTTATATGGATGTACGCGCATATCTCACAATGGAATTAAGGAAATCATGATAAAAGTAATTTTTATTCTTATTTTGAAAAATTGAACTATTTAACAATATATATAAACTACTTCGAATGAGTTTGAAAAGAAGCAAAAAAAAAAATAAATTTTAGTTGTTCTCTCTCTTTTTTTCTAAGTCTTATTTGATTTTGAACTTTACAAATTCTATAAATATCTTTTATCAGTTATATAAACACATAAATAGATTTAATAAATTTTTTTTTTTTTTTTAATAAACTTTTCTTTTGTTTGATTTAAAATAAGAAATATGTTTATTATTCATCTAGGCTTCTAAAGGATTTTTCATAATAACGGAAGATAAATTGTGAACGACATTTTTCATAATTTTTCTTAGCGTAAAAGGCTGACATTGTTATTACATATTGAATGAAGAGCATAGCTATTATAGCGTGGTGTGCTGAAAAGAAAAATGCATATAAGTCATGTCCTATTTCATTGATTTTGATAATTGCTTTTTTGTTTTACTAGCCTCAAGAGGATCATTTACGTCTGGAAAAAAAAATCAAGTTCTCATCTATTTTATTTCTTGCATAATCATAGCAAAATTGGCATATACTTAGCTTCTAGCCAATTAGTTGAAAGAACGTTCTATGGCTATTTAAACTATATTTAACGTCACAACGTTTAAACGATGATATAGTTGTCCAAAATACTCGTTTATCATAATAAATGGTTCTCGAGATCAACAAAAAAAAAAAAGAATCACATTCTTATCGTTTTAATACTATATTATGAATGTTATAAATAGTGATTCATTCATGGTTGAACTCATGATTTGATATGTGGTAAACGATTGTCAGTTTTGCGATATATAATAGAATTAATGAATAATTTCTAATTTTGTTCTCGAAGTATTTCTCTAAATTAGTGAAGATTCGTCCATTTAAAACATCATATATATCAATGGAAATATTTTGTACAGAACACTTCGATTCAGATGTTGTTTAAAAATAGATGAATTTTCATTTTTTTAGATAAACATTTCGACTTGCTTGAAAAATAAATATTTCAAAAATATAGAATGAAAACTACACATTGATTAGACTAGATATCGATTAAAATTGATTTCGAACTCTTTTCTCACACATTGTTTTTTAAACTTTTTTCAACAGCTTAAAAATGTAAAGTTATTGAGCAATTCTTTCTTCTTGAGCTTTTTCTTTTTCTTTTCTTTCTTTCCTTGTCTCAATTTATTTTTTATTCATACTGATGAATTAGTAATTGGTGGCTAGAAATTCCGATGCAGTCATGTCATGTTTAGAAATATTACAATGTCTCTAGTTTATCATAGGATTTGATCATCCGACGTAATTAAAAATTTAGGATTTCAATGTGATTATATATGACGAAGATCAATAAATTCATCGTATGTGTTTTTTCGATATCCTAATTTCCGTACACATACACACATATGATCATGATTGACTCATACCATATACAACAGAATGCGTGTATTTTTTTAATTTGATCAGAGGAACACATTTTTTTTCAGATAAATAACAATACAAAGTATTAATTTTTTTCTTCAATAAGCTATCAGATAAAAAAAAACTCGTCATTAAGACTTCATGAGGAACCAAGCTGTGGAACTTACAAACTTTGACTGTTATTAATGTATGGCATTTTGTCAGAAAGATGAATATGGTCTATTTTTAAAAATGTCTAAAAAATGAATGAGTCATTGACACATACGCTCTGACATTTTATCATTTCGAAAATGTTTGCATTTAGAATTCATATTCTATCAATTTAGTTGATTCATTGAACATCGTTATGTTACAGGAAAAAATAACTTCTTTGTACGGTCAGCTACATGTTCAATATATAATTTCTTTTCTCCTCATGTTAATATGTTACACATGTGCTACAGGAAGCGGTAAATATTATTTTATTCTTGGTTTCAGCGGTTCAACCACCATCTTAGCCTGCTGTTATACACGTTGATTTAGTCGTTCAGTAAGGTTCGCGTAATATCCTTTCTCTGAGTAAACTTGAACATAAATTGTTGAGTTTTGTCTAAACTTCAAATTCAATAAGTTCATACCTTTCTATGACCGTCCTATTCTAACTCGACTCGATAAATAATGCTAGCGCTCTACTGATTGACGTCTACAATAAGATTCGTTCACTGCATTAAATACTGAAAATTCGTAAGATGTACACTAGTTAGAATCTACAGTAGAAATGTTAGATTCTTAGTATGCTTTGAAAGATTCTACAAAGTTCCCAAATGATCTAAGCACTGTTATTACTGATGTAACTTTCCCTGTTGCTAGGGCCTAGAGCTGGAGCCGAAACAATTGTGATTTAAACTTCCACTAACGATATTTTTTTCAAAAATACCTGTGAGTTCCACAAAAGATAAATGAATGTTCTAAACAATTCGACTTTCTTTTACATCTATTCTGATACAATAAGACGCATACATTTCATATAATTGCAAATGATGAATAGAATCATGATTCTAATAAGAAAATAATTAAACTAATATAAATATTCATAGCAATTTTCAGTGGAAAAAAAATCATGATTAAAAACGTTTATCACTATTTATGCCGAAGGTATTGACTTAGATAAATGTTTCAACGATGATGATGCAAGATTAATTATACTTTGAAACACTGAGTAAAGTGTTCAAACATCAAGAAAAGTGATTATCATATAAACGGCACTTTTAACCATTTCGCTTCTTTATAGATAATATCACTTGTCGAGAAAACTTGTCTTTTTTTCTTACTTTTAGCTTTAGAGAAAGCTTTCTAAATGAAAGAATATACTTTTCAGTTGCTATGATCCGAAGCGTCTTATGAATTTTATCAAAACAAGCGACATACATATTGATTCAAATATGCACACATATATCTAACCAAGATCTTTCATTTCCCAAAATTTTCAACTCTCTAATTAAAACTAATGTTGAAATTCATGAACAAGATTAATCCAGCGCGACAGAGCAGCTAAGCACTGTTTTTACTACATGGGAATACATTTATATCTAAAATTATTTACATTTAATGACAAATTTTATCTTGAATGTCTATCAGTTATGAAAATTAAAAAGATTGTAAATGTATTGTATTGAATTTAAATGATCTCAAAACAACCTAAAGTATTGGTTGTATAGTTCGTAGCCAAATTATTTAATGAACTTATTGAATCAGTAGATAGCAATAATAAATTTGTTGATGTGTGTATAATTGAAAATGTGTCGGATGGATTGAAGGAAAAGTTCGACAAAAATTGTTTGATACATTATTACAATCAGAAAAAGAAAATGCAAAAGATTTGAGGGAATTTTCGAAATAAAAATGATAGACGAAATACTTTATCAATTACAATCGCTCATAGAAAGTAATGAAGAATATCTTCATATTCATATCGTCAACATCGGCTTAGTTTTGACTACTAATCGTGAGTAAATGTTAATTATTTGAGTAGATGCAATTCATCGGCGATTTTGCAACAAACTTCAACAGTAAGCATTTATTTATAAAAACTATATATACTTTTTTTTTTATTTAGATCAATCTCAAAATCAAATCGAATAGTGAGTATTATATCTATAAAAAAAATATTCCTTTTTTATTATTTATGACACATGGGGGAGGACAACTATCTCTCTCTTCATTCATGAGAGGCTTTTATGAGTACGCTGATAAAAGACAGTGGTGTGCTCGTCGACATAAAGTCGTAGTCCTAGAGCGGAGCATTTGCATGTCGCATGTTTGTTCACACTGCCTCTGGCATATCGCGTGTGACGACTTTTGATAGAAGAAGTACTAGTGCGAATTGAATTACTCTATATTTGACTTCCTCACATCATCAACCATATCGTTTACACATAGAACACACGTTTATATGCGTAACCAGAAGAGAAAACGACACACGAGGTTAAAAAAAAGAAGAATAGAAAAAAACCGGAAGGATAATTATAACAAAAGAGAGATATGTCGGTGTTGTCACATCCCACACCGAGATTACATGTACTCCTGGATGTCTCGAAGCGAATAAAAAGAAGAAAAGTCATGAAAGCTTAGATCAGAGTAATGAAACGCCAACGTAATCCAAAAATTTTATGGGGAAAGAGTCACAATCAAAATAAAATTAGTCATATATGTCATACATATAAAAGGGTTCACAATGTAAGAGGAAGGATTAACAAATATCGTCAGTAACAATAGTCAATATCATGATTACATTAATACATTTCGAAAAGGTTCCATATGGCATATAGGTCATATTGAAGGGATAAATCAACACCAAGAATTGATAAGAAAAGATATAATTAAGAGTTTGACACGACAATTAGTAAGGCATATGATTGGGAGTCAACATTTGTGTTTGTAATTAGGTTGTGTGGTCCATTGGTTGATATGTCATTAATTTGAGCTGCCATCGATTCAGATTGTGACAGATATCGATGAGAATAAAATTAATCGGTAGCTTTGTGGTATAACTGATCTAAGTATTTATGAAAATGGAATAGATACAAATTGTGATGTTGGATATATATTGGTATATACGTTCAAGGTACCAGTAGAAAATTGATAAGGCAAATTATCTGGCAGTAGATGGCGAACAC